ACTGTGCTATAACGACACTGTCCACAAGCTGACACATCCGTTCTTTGAAATGATCACCATTCACCACATCTCCGCATTCAGAGCGATCCGTTTACGGTTCTTGGCAGTCCAGCAATGAACAATATGGCATGCATGTGCAGTGTTCCGGACTTCTGTGCCTCTAAAACGTCTATGAATGCCCTAACATATCCAAAAAGACCACCACCGGCATAAGGCAATCCAGTTCGTCTGTTGAAGCCAACTATGTCCTCAACGAGAGCCTCGCAAACCAATTCAAAGTACTCACATCATGCCATTGGATCCCTCCATGCAATTATCAGTCGCTGTGCCCGGTTTGGAAGTTGGTTGTCTTCTAACATTCTTATGGTCTCACTGCTCACATTACCAGCGAGCAGTGCAACAGTCATAGTAGCAATATCGCTTGGAGTGATTGTCACAAACAGTGCACCCGTCTTGAACAAGCAATCCATGGAGAAAGCTTTTCTTCTATACGTCATGCTCTCTTCGATACTTCCCCACATCCGTCCCTGTGACACGGCAACGTTCCGCAGCAGCAGTTCTGACTTCGAGCGGTTCCTTTTTGTTGTAGAACGTGCCGCGCTCGACCGGCTTCGGGTAGCGAGAGCTGCGACACGTCGTACTGTAGTTTGAAGCGTGCGAGACGCGACGAGTGCCGTGCACACGTGTAGTAAGAACTACAAAACAAGAGAGAATGGAGTTCGGTCGCTGGTTGGTAGAGGTTTGGTAGAGCGGTGTGGGTTCGACACAACGATGCCACGAAAAGCAGATCGACGTCCTCGACGTGGTAACTCGACGCCGTGCGGAGGCGATGTCGTCACGGAGGACGAATCCGGGCGCTATGCGGAGCGCTCGTCGTGCGTTACCCCTGCGGTGGGTACTTCTCATTGTACTCGATGTACTGAAGGAAAGGCAAATCGTAGTCAGCCAGAAGACTTAGGCACAAAACCAAGGGACAAAGGGGTCGGCCCTCGAGATGATGCCACTGCGTTGATCGATGATCCCCTCGAGTCCTTCCCCTTCCCTACTTTATTATATCTATTACAGTAGTCCCCGTTCTTACAGTGCCAGACTGTAACGGTACGACTACACGTCGGGCAGTAACGGTCCTGCACTTGGGCGCCAGCGAGGTACGCCGGTATCATTCATTAGACGGTATGATTCGAGTACAGTACGTACACGGACGCGAATTGCGCTGCCCAACTTACCGGGCGACAAGGTAATTACCTTTCGAATTAGGAATTAACCAATGCGGTCCTTGTCATACACCATCGGGTGTTCGAGTACAGTATGTACACTTAGTGTACTAGTCTAGTGGACACTTGGCGATATACCACATGGCCCCCTCCTCGCCTTGAGCGCCCCGCTCAAATTTTGCAAAAATTATTTTCCGAAAAATTACGCACGGCGCGTGCGCTACGGACTCGTGTGACCCACTTGAAAATTTGAGCAAAAATAGGCAGGACAAATCAGCTGCGGACACGTGCGTCCTCGTTTGGCCACGGATTTTGCCAAGCGTGCATCTCGCCGTCGGAGTTCGAATATGTTGACAGCGCAGCAGCTGGTGCGACCGCGCGCAGCGAAGGGGTAGACGATCGGTCCGTCTCGTTTCAGTTTGTCGTTCAGCGACTCGTTCTCCATTTCTCAGTGCGATTCGATCACACTCTGTTGTTCTTCTGCCTAAGGTATGCCGTGCGAGCTTCCTTTCGTTTTCCGTGCCGCGGGCGGCACCGGTTGCTCCGCGCAGTCGTTCTGACTTAACAGATCGTGTTTCTCGGCGTTCGTTTTAGTGACGCAGACGTTTCCCGCGCGAATCCGTCTCGCTTGCGATGTCTCCGAACGACAACGCTGTTCGAAAGCTCGCGCCATCGCTTGCGGACAGGCCGTCTGTTCCTGTTTCGAGTGCCCCGCCAACCCTTGGGTTCGCGTCGGTAGGATCGCCTGCCGTCGTCACCACCGAGGTTCCTTCCGTCTCGTCGGGACTCCCCGTCCTTACAGTGCCATCAGGGCCTGTTCGTATTTCACAAGATATTTCAGAAGGCGATCCCGTCGTTTGTTCGTCGGGGAACGTCGTGGACAAGCAAGTTCCTCCCGCCGTGGGCTATTTGTCGGCGTCAGGCCCATCGGGGGTCTGTGATCACGCATCGATCGTGCCGGTCGGCGGTGCGACCCTGAACCAGACGCGCCGGTCTGCTCTGGAGGAGGCTGGAAACGTGAACGTCACCAAGCCCGGTGGCCTTATGACGTTGCGCCGTTACGAGTGGTGCTGTGCCACACTAAGTTATTCAGCACTCGGAAGCTGTCGCGTCCCGGGATATCCGTACACAGGATCCCCCCCGAGCGAGGGCGTCTTGCGGATCGGTTCCGCAACGTCGTTGCTCGGCCGTGCCGATACTTCCGCTCAATCGCTCCAGACAGCAGAGTTGGCGTACGAATGGGAGGAGTTCCCTCGTGTGGACGTGACACTCGACGATGTCCTTTCCGTGTACAGTCCCCGTCCTGACCTCCGTCGGTTCCAAATAATGGCGAGGGGTGGGGCGTCGTCGTCCATCGTTACAGCCTGGGAAGAATATTTTCGGCAGGGACCCGCGTTTCAGGTGCCTTTGGAAATTCCGTGTGACTGTTCGTTTGTCTTTTCCTACTCCGAAGTGGAGTACGTTGACTGAGCCGCTCGGTTCCTTTTCGGGACTGTCGACCCGTCGGATACAGAGATGCTGCTTCCCTTGGTCAAGCCTCTGTATACGTACCCAGTTCCGGGCTTAGAAGGTCTTCGTCCGGAGGTAACGAAAGCCACCGCGGGCTTAATGCGTCTCACTGGCCGCGTGTTGTGGCCATCCGACTGGCTCGTTCATCGCCGGAGCGTATCGCATGAGTCTTGAGTAACTCCGTCGTCGGAGTTGGTGATTAGTCTGACCAAGATAGACTTTGCGGAGCTCCCTCCGGCCGTTTGGCAGTCTATGCCACCGGCAGGGGTGCCGGTACTCTGCCCCCCCCGTTTTAAGTTACTTCGGCTATGCCGCGAAGGACCGCCGACACCCGTATCTTTCTCGCCTCGAGCGAGTCGTGGCCTTCGAATGGTCCGTTAATGTTGCATGTGCGATCATGCAGTAAGCTCTCAGTGAGCGTCGAGCCTTCCTCGTCTCAGACGGAGTACTTAATGCACTTCGTGCGGTCGTGGCGGGCGCGCCTCGTCTGGCAGCTCCGCTCGTTGGTCGTGGCACTCCACGAATGTGGTCGTTCTCAGAAGCCCTGGGACTTATGGAACGCGTAGGGCACCCGAAGCACTTTTCGTCGTATGAGAACATTTTTCGACCGGTGTCGAATCGTCGTCCGTGTACTATCACGCTGCGTCGGACTCCTTCCGTCGTGAGTACAGAAACATCCCAAGCTCAGGTCGTCGAGGGCGTTTGGGACTGAGTCACAAGAGGGACTACAGTCACGTTGCCGGAGAAGTTTCTTCTTTCCCAGCACCGTCTGGGGCATCTCTGGATCCTCCAGTCGTTGTCGCAAGGTCCATCGTCGAGTCTGATCTTACCAGGGACGACCTGGTTCGTTTGCCGAAAGCGGTCGAAGCGTTAGGCCAAAGGGCCTACGAGTCTTGGAATATCGGCTCGATGATCGAGACATTAGCTCGCTGGTTCCTCATTCGTACAGCAGAGCTTCATGAGATGAAGTGGGACCTTCGTGGTGCCCTTTCTGAGGCCAAGGTGGCTACGGAGCGTGCAGATCGAGCTGCGAGTACAGTGGAAGACTTGCGTACTTCTCTTCGTGAAGTTCGCACAGAGCGCGATCGGTATCCTCAGTCACATGAAACCCTCTGGCGTTACCAAGGGTATAGAAGTGCTCGTCATGGACATGACTCGTTGGTTGGTTCGAGCGCCACGACTGCGTGCGCGCCCGTTCCGAGTATTCCGGATCCTTATTCTTCGGCTCCGCGTGATGGATACGCGACGGCGTATCGCGCACCGACGCGAGATATTGAGGGCGGTACCCTTCTTGTTGCATCGGGAGACGAGGATGCGTATTACAGAGACCGAAGTGCAGGTCACTATGCCGGTCGTTAATTCGTCGTTGGAACTTGTTTCATTGTTCCCGGTGGCACTCGTGCATGACCCTTCGGGTCTCGTGTCGCAGAATATGATGCATTGTTAAAGCGCGTGTTGGCTTAACTAGCACCACCCTGGTTAGCCCTACAATAGAACAAATTGTTCTTGTGACATCTTGTTGTTCTTCGAACAACCGTGAATTAATTTTCCATCTCGCGTGTATCGTACCACCTCGAAGAGCTCGAAACTCTCGAACGTTGTTACTGCAGCGTGCAGTTCTGGCCCCCCTCCTCAACCGTGAGGTCCCAGTCACGCCAATCGTGGCTGTGTCGTATGGCTTTAAGGGGTTCGCGTATTGCGATGGAGGCGTTGTCGATAATGATTGACGAGTTTTTCGGGGACATGGGTACGTTTAGTCCATGCGGGCTTTGCGTATCCAGTCCATTTGACGAGAAATTCCACATTTCCGTCTCGATTACGGTGGTCCAGGAGGCGATCCACCGTATAAGTAGGTCCTTCGTGAACCTTCTGAGCAAAGTCGGCGGCAGATGCGTGAGGCACTTCGTTTGACCCTGGAGGATGTGCCTCGGCATCCGAATTTTCCGTCGTAGGCACTGTCGCTGATTCGGCAGCGTTTGTACGAGCGCCTATCGGGGGCGGCGAAAAGACGCATTTGTCCGCGGAGACACATTCCGTTACACCGTTCCGATCGATTGTTAGAGTCCGTTTGTCCTGTGGACAAACGGACTGTAGCCCTTCGGCAGGGGACTTCAGCTTGCCGAGTTTTGTCGCCCCGTCCGTAGAGTCTAAGAAGATAAAATCTCCAGCTGTAATCCTTGACTTGACGCGGCGTACTCGCTTGCCAAAGTCTCGCTTATAACGCGCTTGCGTTCGTTGCAGGCTTTTGTATGCCTTTTGGATAGACACGTCCAAACGTTATCTGAAATCGTCACGGGCGGTCGCGTCCGGCGTAGAACGTCGTCGCACAGAGTGATGCAAAGAGAAATCTGGCGGAGGTCGCGTTAACACTAAATCGAAAGGGGGTGTCCTTATAGATCTGTGCAGGTGACAGTTGTAAGCGTACATTAACGCTCTGGCGTAAACATCCCAGTCGTTCTGGTGCTCGTTCACGTAATTTCGTAGCATGGCCACGATCGTACGGTTGTACCGCTCGGTCTGTCCGTTCGTTTGTGGATGGTAAGCTGAGTTAAAGAGGTTCGTTACCCCGAGAACTTCACAAACGGACCGGAAGAATCGGGCAGAGAATTGCGGACCGTTGTCTGACAGTAGTGTTTTTGGCACTCCGCATTTAAATACCCAGGCCTCGCAAAAGGCAACGGCGACGACATAAGCGGTGACGCTTCGTAACGCAACGACCTGCGTAGGTTTCGTGAAACGATCCGTGATCACAAGAAGGTATTTGCGTCCCTTCTCGGATTTCGGTAGAGGTCCAAGTATATCAATACCGAGGGACTCTATCGGTGCCGTTGCCGGGAACAGCTTGAGGCAGTTGAGCCTCTGGCGTAACCGAACGCGGTTCTTCGCGCAATGTCGACAGTTCTGTACTGTCGCCGCCACTTCTACAGCCATGTGTGGCCAGTAGTACGTTCGTCTTAGGATGTAGTACATCCTGTTCTGTCCGGGATGTCCTGCGACAACGGGGTCGTGCGTTAGCGATAAGAGCCTAGCTCTTAACGTTTTAGGTACGACGATTTGCACGATATCACGTTCGTACGGGTGTTTGCGCTTGAGCAGCCCGTCCGTATCCTCGAAAAAGATCGAGTCGCGTTTTCTGTCCTGTCGAGACAGAACCGTCTGACAAAAGTCATCAGCTCGTTGTTCTTCAGCCAGCTCGTCGAAGGAGAGAGGGGCGGGAAGTGAATCGTTTGGGCGGTTGGTGGACAGCGCTTCTTGATCGTCAGTAAGGCCGAAGACATCGATGTGTACGTCGTACATCTCGTCGGACTCGTCGTCCTCGTGTGGCCAGACGACTGGTTCCGTGGCGCCACGGGGCGCTCCGTTCGTGGAGAGTGCTCTACTGCGCGTCGTAGCGAAAACTGTTTCCGTTTCGTGATCACACTTCGGAGTGCATCGATGCTCCGTTAATTCACACTGCAAAGGCGCTGAACGCAGGAACAATAATATTCAGTGTTCCAGGGATTTAAGTTTTGCGAATAGATAAATATATACATAACAGCAATGCAACCGGTCATGTTAGCCGAAATGTTTTGTAAAAGTTATTAAACGTACAAACAAAAAGTGGCAGGATGGCTCATGTTTTTTTAAACGTCTTTGCCATGCTATTATATACATCACAATATTTCTAAAGTGATGGGCTGGACCACTGGCGCAGGTCACGAATGGACGAAAACGATACACATGCCACCGCACCCCCCTTCGCCCTCACTTGCGTTTATTAAGGCTGTCATCTATGAGGTAGTAGGGAAGCCGTTGCGAAGTGCGCACTATGCTTTTGTTGCGGAAATAGCAGCATTTCGGGACCTGCCTGAATTTCTTCAGCGCAGGGAGCATCCCATGCTTTTATTGTCGCAGCCATAGAGATGCATGCGGTCAATCACGCATCAGGTTTCTGCTTCGATCAAGGTATTGTAGATCCAGACCTTGTTTCCTCAGTTCCGTGACGATACTTAAGCGCGTGTCGCTCTCAAGCATCAAGTCCCGAACATGAGCTTTCGGAAGAAAATCGAGATCCGCAGTTGGTGAGTGCGACCGAGAGCTCAAAAGCCTACACCCAACAACAACCTCTATAATATCCTTCTTCGTGGTTTTAAAACCGTAACAGCGATTCTCTTTTGCCGAAGAAACTCTCCGCAACAGTTGCGGCAGTTGTAACCTGCGCCCTCTTTATCAAGCTAATTAGAAAACATAATGAGTGTTTCCCGACTTCAATTGTTAACAATTGAAGTCGGGAAACACTCTTTGTTAGATGTTTTGGAAGAGGCGCGATGTGTCGTTGGAGAATTTCACCGAGCTACGACTGATCCGCTTCACGTATTGAAGACAAGAGCATATGCCTTAACGCTTACAGTACTGAAGCTTTATCAATACAGCCGGTACCTCCTAATGCGTGTTCATCGTTTCACTCGTGGGGGACATTCGACAGATTCTGAGAACGTGAACGACGTTATTCGACCGATATACGAGGATGCACTGGTGTACGTGTCAAGGTATACTATGGACGATCATGCTGGTTCTCGGAGGATGTGTCAGCGTGGCTGGACCATATCGCTCCTGTCTGTTCCACCTGTTCAGTTTCGATACCAAACCAATACCCACTTTGTTCCCGAAAATAATACCGGCATTGAAGAAACACTCTGACGAAGTCGGTATTCGAGAAAGCTGCGAGCTGCAGTACTTTTTCAAGCATGATCTTCACGCAAACGATTCCCTGATCACGACCGAGAACGACGCGAGTATTTGTGAAAAAGCTTTCGGAACTATTGAAAAAGTTATGGAAAATGAACCACTCAATGTTCTACGTCGGTCACATGTTTACGCGATTTTGTTGGCACGCCCAGGATGTCTTTTTCATTTCAGTTTACTACTTACCTTCACTGCGACGTTCGATGTCGGATATTTGTGACACGAGGGTGGGACGAAGTTTGTGCGTCTCACTCATACGCACTCACCGCATAGCGAAAGGTTCTCTCGGAATAGGCAGAAGGATGCAAGGTAGATCATGCCTCACTGCATGCACGTTGAAGATTCGTACAAAGCACACACCAGAAAACGCAGCCCGTCGCATGTGATAGGAAGTTTTCGAAGTGTGATTGTTCCAAATGTGATCATTTGCGTGCCGCACGGCCCGGGCCACGTGCAGCATGGAATGACGCCATTGTAGAAACAGCAAATTAAAACTCGTAACGCACTTTAGTTCTACCCTCCACGAGCGGAAGATCACATTTCCGAACGCCCTAGACAATATCGCACCATCGCTCGTAACTTGCACCCAGCTGCACCCGATCGCCATGCACCGCGCGCGAAACGGCTTCTGTCGCAACTTCGTTATGGCAGTCGCAACTTCATTATGCGCATGAATGGAGTGTGAGGGGTGTTGCTCCTGTGCGCGGCAGAACTTTTTTAGTGGTGAGGAATTAAGGGTAGGAGGCGTGTGCATCCGGTACGATCGTCCATCTCTGTTTCGACCGATTCGACCGATGCGAGAGTGTTGACATGCTGGATTTTGTTTCTGTGGATGACGAACGTTGCTTGGTACCGTCGACATCTAAGTTCACACCGATCCGGTCAGTTCGCATTTACCAAACGTTATCATGGCTAACTTCTGTCCCGCGCATTATTACTACGTCGCGCACTAACGTAGGACCAAATGACATTGTGCAATCGTGCACAATGCGCGTCGGGGGCAAGGTGCAGGATTCGGGGGGCTGGTAGAACAGCCTTGCGGGGGTCATTGCGCCGATGATCGCAAGGGAAGCAGCGCCGGGATAGGTAGAGTTGGAGAGAGGTATGCAGATTGCAGACACGCTCTGTTGAGCGTCTTCTACTTTACAATCTTGCCTCTCTACCTCGGCATCCGGGGAATCCGACAGCCGCCCTTACACACCCATAGTTCGACTCCCTCAGAAGCTGTACCACCGATTTTTTCAGTTTTCATTGACTCCTTCCTCTTCATGATGAAGAAGATGTTTAAAATCAAATCCGTCATCAGGGCGATCTTCCCAATCATCATCCTTTTCAGCTATTGCATGAACCCCGATCCTGTCATGACGATCAAGGGCGTTTCCGGCATTGTAATCCATTTCAGTTCTCCTGGGTGAGTCCGTGCAGAGCTAATTAAATTGCGCTGGAGACATTCTCAAGATGTAAGCATCCAATATATCTTTCTGCTTCGAATGCCTCGGGATGAAGTCTCTTACTTTTAACCGAATCATGGTGCTCCCTTGCTGCGACTCATCGCTTGGTTCGCGTTCACTCGGATCTTCATCATCTATCAGACCCTCGGATAACTGCACTTTGCGACCTGTCGGCGCACCTCCACTTTACTCTGGCTCACCACAAAACTGTATGCGCTCATCCTCTTCGTGAAAAGGTTTATCCTCATTGTCTCGATCGTTTCTATGGTAGTGTCCAACACGTCCAACACCTTTCCCCTTTTCTTGTTGCAGGCATATCTCGGTCTCCCCTGCCAACGTAGAAGGCATATCGATATGGCGATTGCCAATTATAATGTCACGGACGAACCATCTAAAAAGCAAAGCAGTCCTGTAAACTGCTCGTAACGACCCAGGGTGGCTCCCAAGGAACTCTTTAATTCCTCTCCCTTGCGTTAGGGCCACGAAAAAGTTAACAGCAACACGTGCAAGATTGATTGTATTGTAAATCTGCTTGCGTTCCGCACGCTTAAACCCTCTCTTTTGTATCCCGTTCTTCAGCATACCATCACCCACGATCACATGGTAATCGACCAGAAGGTCAAGTTCCAGTCGACATGACATCATTTCTTGCAGAGCCTGCAAGTTTAACACATTTGCATCAGGGGCTTCTGATGTCACCGCAGATGACACATGGTCACGAAAATTGAACGGGTGCTCCAGATATTTGAAGGTCAAATGAGGCTGCCCGAACTCCTGTGGTATTCGTCTACTCGCCTCCCATGGTCTAAGCGCAAACCCCAGATCTTGGAAGAAGCGTTTCCTGGCCCCCACACGTGACTCTCTCAAAAAGTCCGTAGACATTGAGTATAAGGGAGCGCAATGTACAGGCTTTCACGTCCCTTTTTCGTGTCTACATCCTTCTTATCAGGCTTTGCTTTAGTCTCCAATAACTTTCGGGTTTTCTTTAATGCACGTCTTCCGACGTACTTAGAATCCAGCCAGTACGGGGTTTTTCGCAAAGGCAACATAACCTTGGATAAGCCTGGCCCATGTTCCACTCGTGCGAGGGATCTTTCATGACCGTCTGATGGAAGGCTTGTTTTCAACGATCTTCGAGACTCGTTTTCACGCATGCAATCCCTCTGTACCTGCTTTCCGCCCTCAGCGAATAATTTTCGGACGAATCGAGATTTGAAATCACAATGCACGGGAGCGGGGCCTGATTTAAAGTCTTTTTTGTGGCGTGTTTTTGATGCCCGTAGAGAAATGCTGCAATTTCAAGGTGGGTATGGGCAAGGGTTGACCCCATGGACCACGCGTACTCCATGAAATAGCAAGAAGAATCTGCCATAACCTGCGACATGAGAGAAACACGAAAAACGTTTTCTACTTGCGACTTCAGAGTTGCGTTTTCCATATCGACGATGTCTTTGAACGTCCATTTCGAAGACGTGCTTGCAGTTCGCTTTGAGTTGACTTTCAATAAAGTGTTGGTTCTTGCTCCAATATCTGCTTTAATGATTGTTAGGGCTTTTTGACACTTTCGAGATCTCTCTGAACACCCTTCTTGCTCCCTTCCATTGTATCAAGGCGAGCAAGTACTGACTTTTGCATGTTATCCAGAAAGAGGCGAAACGAGCTCAATGCTCCCGCTGTGTTGGGTCCGGCAGATACTGCTCGAATCTCAGTAAGGCTTGGCCGTACTGTACTTGCACTTTGATTGCCCGAGAAGCGCACTTTTGGCGCTGCCACGTCTCCTGAGCTACTACAAGC